TATATATATATATATCAAGGGTGCCCAAACCTTTTCCCCAAAATGAAAATCTAGCTGAGGGCTGCGGCCAAATGCAATAATGTGATTCATGAAATACAAATACTTTTTACATACAGTCCTTCTATTTTAATGATTATATCCTGCTGGAATATGGATAGTATTTATTTTTTACAATGCGAAGCTGGAATGAAAACAAGCAAAAATAAAATTAAAGTAACAACTTTCTACTTCTTGCCTTTTTTAAAAATGTGAGGAGTAAAAAGTACAGATATTTATGTAAAAATGTAAAGAGAACGTTGTACGTTGGGGTTTACCCCGGTGAACGAGAGGGTAGCCTCCCTTCGCCTAAGGGTGGGGGGACGGGTTCTGACTGTTGTCTGTGCTTACGGGCCTAACAACAGTTCAGATTACCCACCCTTTTTGGAGTCCTTAGAGGGGGTACTGGAGGGTGCCCCTCCTGGGGACGCCCTTGTTCTGCTGGGGGACTTCAWCGCTCACGTGGGCAATGACAGTGAGACCTGGAGGGGCGTGGTTGGGAGGAACGGCCCCCCCCGATCTGAACTCGAGTGRTGTTYTGTTGTTGGACTTCTGTGCTCGTCACGGATTGTCCATCATGAACACCATTTTTCAGGCATAAGGGTGTCCATATGTGCACTTGGCACCAGGACACCCTAGGCCGCAGTTCGATGATCGATTTTGTCATTGTTTCATCGGATCTGCGGCCGAATGTCTTGGACACTCGGGTGAAGAGAGGGGCGGAGCTGTCAACTGACCACTACCTGGTGGTGAGTTGGCTCCGGTGGTGGGGGAGGAAGCCGGTCAGAMCTGGCAGGCCCAAACGTGTAGTGAGGGTCTGCTGGGAACGTCTGGCGGAGTCCCCTGTGAGATGGAGCTTCAACTCCCATCTCCGGCAGAACTTCAATCACGTTCCAGGGGAGGCGGGGGACATTGAGTCTGAATGGACCATGTTCTGTGCCTCCATTGGTGAGGCGGCTTATCGGAGCTGCGGCCGCAAGGTTGTTGGTGCCTGTCGCGGCGGCAACCCTCAAACCCGTTGGTGGACACCTTCGGTGAGGGATGCTGTCAAGCTGAAGAAGGAGTCCTATCGGGCCTTTCTGGCCTACGGGACTCCAGAAGCAGCTGATGGGTACCGGCGGCTCGGGTGGTCGCTGAGGCAAAAACCCGGGCGTGGGAGGAGTTTGGAGAGGCCATGGAAAAAAACTTCCGTAC